TGCCGCTGTGGATCCGCACGAAAATCTGTGCAGCCGCACCACCCGCACAGATAATTGAGGACTCGCGGGCGGGTGCCATTAGTTCTAATGGCACGCCGCCCGCACTGGGAAATGCAACTGAACTGGGAACCTCGGCTGCGTTTTCCAAAGAAGTGCAGGGTCTTCTTTCCCTGTGTGGCACAGGAGTCCATTCAAATGAATGGGCTCCCGTGCCCGAGCAAAAACGCAGCCCGCCTGGCCGCATAGCTGTGAACTGGGAGTAAATGCAGGAAACCCAGCAGTGGTTGATGGTGACTATGGACTGTCTGTGTCCAGGGACTATCATTTGCACGTAATCGCACCATGTGAGCGAATGCATTTTGCTGTGGTAGCTAGGTTTCTATGTTAGTTGTCAGCCTCACAATGCTTTCAATGGGGCTGCTGCCTGCAGCTAATGACAGGGAACCTCTGCTGGGTCTCCCACATGGAAATCGCTAAAGGCCCTGTTCCCAAGTGTGAATGAGGCCCGGGTTTGAAGAGCTGTTTGAAAGATACGCAGGGACAGGAGTACAAACTTGGCTGTACAGGCAAGACCGTACAGTTGATGTGTATCCATTCACTTTTATAGGCTGCCTGCATGCAGCTACACACTAGTGCAAAAAAGACAAAAATGGCTCTTGTACAGGGCTCTGCACCCGTGTGAATGAGATCTAGATGATGTCCCATTCACCGCAGGCCAATGCTTCAACTTACGGCAGAATATGAGCATCTCCTATGGTATCATGAGAGCAGTGCCGTTATAGGAGCGGCCAAGCACAGGTCATGTTCTTCCAAATGGTCTCACAAACACATGATAGTTTTAGCCAAGGAGACCCCATAACCAGTGAATAAAAGGACTATTTTTGGAGGGCAAACAGATCGTCTTTTGTGATTTTAACATTTCTACACTAAATCTAGACTTTTCCCATTAGACAAGAGTACATCACAACCAGGGGCGAACTGACAACTCATGGGGCCCCCGGGCAATAGGGGATCATGGGGCCCCTGTGTCCTTGCCCAAACTCAAAAAAGCCTATGAAAAAAGGCACCAGGGGCATCTCATGGGGCCCCCTACTGACCCCGGGCCCTCAGGCAGTGCCCGAGTTTCCAAACGATCAGTCCGCCCCTGATCACAACACATAGAAATCCATTGGATGAGGTTATTGCACCTTGCAGAAAGCAGACTGCTATACATGGTTTACAATCAAGCCATAGCTTCGAGTCACTTTCCTGGGACAAAGCATAGACACGTTTCTATCACATCTGTCATCAGGACTCTGAGCTGCAAGAATATCAAAACAAGGTTTAAAGGAAACCTGTAATGACTGAATCAAAAGAAGCCGATCACCTCGCTAAAGCTGAAAGGTGAGCTCCAGGCAGACATATTACAAATGTATATAGGAGCTGCTCTACCTGTCAAAGGATTGTATTTCTGTCCCTCTAGTTCTGGAATTTACACAGCCTCACCTAGCAGAGGAGTAGTCCTCATTTTTATTCACTGCAGTTCATTACCACGTATGTGTCTTCTCTCCACCCTCAGCCTGTAGCAGGCTGGTGAACTCCTCTCTCTGCTCTCTCCTCCTATCACTATGCTTCTTGCACTGCAGCACAACTGACTGACTCTGTGCTGCTGCTTCTCCCTCATAGCCGGAGCTCTGCTGTACAGGAACAGCAGGATTCCAATACCAAGTCACATTAAGGTACATGCACTACTTGCAGACGAAATAAAAAAACATGTAAGAATGTACTAGTAATTACAGCGCTGCATTAATTTGTGTCTACCTGGTTTAGGTTTGTTTCAGGAATGATACGTTTCTTTGCTGACAGGATAATCCTACATGTGTATTTCATTACTAGAAATGCACAAACGGTCTCTACTAGCCTTTTAAAAATGTGAGTTAAATGGCTGTCATGGTGATCAGATGTCTTTAATCATTTCTGATGTGTAAAAAGTTTAATGAGAGCACCAGACCAGAGATCTAAGTGTCCAAAATCTTTGGAAATATTCGTGTTTGCGTATAATAAAAAAAAAAAAAAAAACCCACAAAACAGCCAAAACAAATTTCTGGGGCGCCCCACCGCCCAGTGTCTGGGGGCTACAGTAGAAACCAGGGAAAAAAAAAAAAAAAAAGGAAGCAGTTGGTGTAATCATGAAAGATCACAGATTATAATGTAACAAAAGTTATCCTGAAAGGAAATCGTGTAATTAGTTTTTTTTAGACGCATTGGCTACCTGGCTATTTACATGTGTGTGTTAAAAGATCGCAAATAACTGATTGCTGAATTAAAGTTATAAACCATGTTATCAGAATTTCAAACCTTGTGTCCGATACTCAATATTTAGCAATTGGTCCTTGAAATATATCAATTGATAAGGAGATCCATGCAATCATAAAATCACAGTCAAAATGATTACAAGTCAAAACGTGTAAATTAAAAATACCTTAAAATAATTGATTAGCTTCAAAAACAAAAACACAAACAAAAAAAAGACTGGGTTGATAAAAAGGTCAGAGACAAACACCCAAAAGCAACACCGTAAAAATAAAACAATAATGAAACATGTTGAATGTTCTCTGGGAAAATACAGACATTAAAAGAATTTGGTTTCTTTAATCTCTCATTCAAATTTTTTCAGGTTTCTGTTGAGAGATTGTAGCTACTGAGCTCCACATGAACCTGACTGACTTTCTTCAACCATGAACCACTAATCAGCTGCATCCAGCACCTTTGATATATATGTTCCTTTCGCAAGGGGAAAAAAAAAATAAAAAAAAAAATAGATACTATACTGGCTTAAGACAACTGTAATGATATGTATACCATGTATAGATGGCTGATACATTGTATAAAAATCATCCTTTGCTCCAAGCCCGCTCCTGTACACAGTGCTGGATTTCCATGTGCTGTGGAGATGAGGGATGCAGCTAGAGAAGTGGAAGGCTATAGTCTCATCTCTTCACCCATTCACAGAATACAAGGTAATCTGTGAATGGAGGAGGAGATCATAATGAATCCCTGCAGCTGCCTGAATGGGCACACAAATGTGCATACTGCTGCATATAAAAATAAAACGCTATATGCACATCTGAGTGGCATTTTTACTACACCAACTTGTTCTATAGAGACCACCTCTAGAGAAATCTGTCCACAACCCACGTACCAGACGATGATTTTTGATCAAACAAGCCAAAGCAACCCTTAGACCACCGTTTACACAGACCAACTTCCTAGAGAAACTCCAGACAAAAATACAAGGTGGAGACACAGAACTGCACAATCCTTTCATTGCTGCTGTGCTATACAACACAGAATGACAACACTTTGCAGAGTCACTACACCGCCTATTTTGGAATGCCGAAATGCAGAAAACCCATCAAAAAACGAAAAAAAAAAAAAAAAAACACACAACACATTCCCCATCTGTATTTGCAGTAACCACTCCCACAGAAAGGCTGCTTTTACCTTCAGGTGGCAGGGGTTAAAAATTATTACACTGGTTAAATGGAAAAAGAATTTCATGACTGCAGAAGAAATGCAGGACCAAAATAAAAATAAATGTTTTCATATACTTGACATTTTCCCTAAACAAAATGTTACTGATTTTTCAAAATCCTTTATATATTCGTTAACGCTGAATTCTAATCACAAATCTAAAGAGCGCGTATTTCAGCACTGGAAATGGCTGTGTGTGGGTTTGATGACCGGTCAGCACTGCAGATTGAATATTGAAGAGTCATATAGCGCCCCTCTTCCCAGCTTTTACTAGGCAGCGCTGACATCAATAGATCGGTGCCACCTTGTGTAGTCTCTTCTATCAGTGAAACACTCTGCTCTTCCTTCATCCCACTTGAGCAATGCCCATCTTTTCATTTCATGAAGAAATTTAAGATTTCTAGTGAAATATACAAGTTAACCTGTTGCTGCTCACGTAACACATGTGCAGCGGCAAAAGGGTGGACTGTAATGTCCACATGCCACGCGTATGCGTCATTGGGCAACTGATGTTTCTGTGCTGAATGCACACTCACAGCAGAGACCAAGCTGTCAGCTTGGCTCTCAGTCCTCACAAATGATCGGTACCCAGCAGGACCAGCTTTTGATCATGTGACCACTGTGCCAGCCAATCACGTGTTCCCATGATTGTCCATCCTTGCTACCCCAGGGCATTTAGAACTTTTCAAAGGATCGCTGGGGCAGGAATCTAATTTCTACTGGACAAGACACACACCAAAAACACCCCAATGCATCACGTGATATTTGGTACTGCCCTGAGTTCTAGGTTAAATCAGAACTATAGGCAAAACTTTCTCATTTTGGATAGAGCTAGGGCTATAACCCTGTCAGATTTTTTTTTTATGGCCATCTGTGTCCCATTTCTGAGATTTCCCTTCATATTCTGTCCCATAGCCAAAACAGGAAGTGAAATCTTACTCCAAAATTAAAGGAGTAAAGCCCAAGCATTTTGGCTGTACTTCTGTGAATCACAGGAGAGCAGCTCGTTCTGCAATCCTGTGACCCGTTTTCAGCCGACTGAAGTCGGTTGACGTCAATCAACCGGTCTAGGCTGGAGAAAGATCCCGACTGCCAAGTCGGGATCCACCCCAGTGTTTGGAGCGGATCCCGACTGCCAAGTCGGGATCCACCCCAGTGTTTGGAGCGGCACCTGGTTCAGCCTCTCAGCGAAGCGCCGAGTGTCTGAGCCAGCCACCCCCCCCCCCCCCCTCCACTGCCCAGTGCTCAAGTGTAGGGGGGGAACGGAGCAGAAACTGACAGGCCAGCTCTCTGCTCAGAGTGGCTAGGAGAACTCAGCAAACATGTGCTCGCCGAGTTCTCACCCTTAGAGCTAGCGGGGGACAGATTCTGCATCCATTTAGGCAATTATAAATAGGTGGGGGGGATCCTCATTATGTTAGTGACTTCATCCCCCTTTTTCTTTACCCCTTCCTCAATTCCCCCTATTATGTAACAAAACTACTTACCAGCGGGAAGTCAAAATCTTTGTCGCTCGGTAAGTTTGTGATATAATCAATTCGGAACTGGTTGTCTGGATTTGCTAGCTCCACTGGAGGTGACAGGTTGCTCATTGCCGCAACTATGGTCTGGTAAAGAGAAAGAGACTGTTAGAATGCCGAATGCACAAAGGAAACAAAGCCAGATTATTTCTTTGGTTACTCACCTCAATGGCCTCTTTAATATTATTCTTAATATCTTGTACTTTAACCTTTTTCTCTCTAGAAAAAAAAAAAAAAACACAGAAAAAAAAAAAAAAAAAAAAAAAAGATGGTTAGAAGTCAGTCACCATGTACCAAGTTAAGGGAGAAACACCCAAAACATATTTCAGTTAAGGGTGAACTTCCTTTGGGTTCGCGTAGTCACTTGTTTCTTTCGTGGACTCTGGTGGCAACAACTCATCGAATATCTCGTGTCTGTCTACACGATGAGGCCATGATGAAGACATCACTACCTCCATGGGTTTTCAAACCTTTTCATGACGAATATTGTGACAGAAGGAGCAGGGCAGAACTGTAGCTGGGGTGGGGAGCAGTAATGAGATGATCCAAATTTGTCATAAAAAGGTAGAAAACCAACCAATAAATACACATTGGAAGTTTGACCATGAACACCAAGAAAAGCTCACCTATGCAGCAGTGTGGGTTCATAGAGCAATTCTAGGGAGGTTTTCAACAATGACAAATTTGCTTCATATTTCATATTATATTCTAATAGGAAGACGTGGCCTTGCTCCAGTTGTGGTATGTCACTTAGCATGTGCTGTGCCTATGTTCAGTACAGAGTAGACGTTACTGCTATCATTTAATTTGTCCTGAACACACCCAAAAAAATGCATGCTCTATTCTAGTGTCCGAGCATAAGCAACAACATTCTTTGGAACTGCCCTAGAATAAACACAGGTTATCTTACAATTAAAAACCACCACATTATTGAAAGGTTATCCTGAAACGAGCACTGACTGACAGTAACACTGACCATACACAGCTGGAATTTCGGCTGACTCCTGCTGAACTGGCAAAAACAGGAGTCAAAAGTGGTGCTGTTAGCATCACCCGGCTCAAACGTCAACCTGGACACTACAGGGACTGGGTGGATAGCCCTCAGCTGAACAGTGGCTGCAGCCAACGTTCAGGTATTCTGACATTTGGGGCGCCGACTGTGTGAACAGAATAGCTAGCAGGGAAGATTCCTCCATCTACACCGCTTATCATGGATGGGGAATCTACAGATTTTTGTTCAGCCCTCAGAGCTTAACGGGAGAAATCTTGGCATACATATCAACTATCAGTTTTGAATGAGATCCTCAGCTGTGAAAGACAACAAATGCCCTGAATGTTTCTGTTGAAAGGAAATCTGTTACAAATTGAGGCAGAAGAAACGCAGCTTATGATGACAAAATGCAGATGCAGAGGTTCCCCTAAGTCAGGGGTGGGCAAACTGCGGCTCTTCAGCTGTTGTGGAACTACATTTTATTATTTATTTATTTCAGGTACTTATATAGCGCTGCCAATTTACGTAGCACTTTACACATATATATTGAACATTCACATCAGTCCCTAACCCTCAAGGGGCGTACAATCTGTACAATCTAAGGTCCCTAACTCACATTCATACATACACATACTAGGGACAATTTAGACAGGATCCAATTAACCTACCAGCATGTCTTTGGAGTGTGGGAGGAAACTGGAGCACCCAGAGGAAACCCACGAAAGCACAAGGAGAACATGCAAACTCAATGCAGGAGGCGCCGTGGTCGGGAATCGAACCACCACTAAGCCACTGTGCCGCCCCACCACTAAGCCACTGTGCCACCCCGTACATCTCCCATGAAGCATTGCAACATTACAAAACTGACAGTTACAGCTATGACTTGCAGAGGCATGATGGAACTTGTAGTCCTGCAACAGCTGGCGAGCCGCAGTTTGCCCACCCCTGCCCTAGGTGAAAATTGCTTCAGGCAATAAAAAGCAGCACAAGTTGTGCTTGTCTCAATCCTTCCCCTTTTTAAACCTCCTCCAAAAGGTGTGAATAATAGTAGGGGGGCCTCTCAATGACCCCCTAGGGTCGCATGTGAGAAGAATGACGGGTCAAACTCAACCTGAAAAGAAAGTGCAGAACTGCGCTTAGCAGAAGTTCCCCCAATCTCTCCATCCACTGACATTCAGATGAAGGTAGCTTTGCCTCTTCATGAGCAACTCAATTAAAATTGGCCAGGTCTGACAGGATCACTTTAAAAAAGGTACTGTGAGTGGACTTGGTTTGGCATTGTGGCCATGTTTCCTGGCTAGCATGGTGGCCATGTTTCCTGGCTAGCATGGTGGCCATGTTTCCTGGCTAGCATGGTGGCCATGTTTCCTGGCTAGCATGGTGGCCATGTTTCCTGGCTAGCATGGTGGCCATGTTTCCTGGCTAGCATGGTGGCCATGTTTCCTGGCTAGCATGGTGGCCATGTTTTCCTGGCTAGCATTAGCCATTTCCTGTCAGGCCACTGAATGCAGCAAGTATCTAACCCACATTTCTAATGAACCAGGAAAAGCAATGTGAATGGTGGCAGTCGTCCCATCCATGTCCATGGTGGAATCACGTGATGCAGCGCCCTTATAAGGCAGTCACTTCCCCTCTCGCACAGAAACATACAGAGTCAATTAGTATGGTCAGGTTCTGAGACTTTCTGGAACAGAGGAATAGACACACTGTAAGTGGGAGGACGCAGCCGGCACTGACACACACAGCATCTTCTGTCTTGGCAAATCCACCGGCAAAGCGGTATCAATCTGTGCACCGGGGAACAGAACACGAGCACTGCCAACATGTTAACCCTCGCAGCAGACGCACGAGCTTCAACATCCTTCTGTGGCAAGAGGCAGGCGAGGAGGATGTACACAGGAAAATTTACTTCAAGGAGCTTTACGCACATTGGTAAAAGCAATGGTTAATCGTGTTATTAGGAGACAGCGGCTGCAGGATCTATAAACGGTGGTAATATGTCTTCTGAAACAGCCAGTGCTTGTATGTGTCCCGCGGTCTCCGCCCGTAAAATAGGCACCTCACCACAGCTGGGAGGACATGGCCTAGCATGGCCTGTTCTAGATGTCCAGTAACTAGACGTTTACATGGAGCCTCAATCAGGGTTACAGCACACTAATTCCGACATAACATGCCTGCTACCGCGTCAGTGCCGTCCTGCATCACAAATCTGATGCCAATCTACGTTCACACCATATGCACGGAGCTGTGCTGGCCAGTCTTGTCCAGGGTGGATTTGATTGAAAACAAGTGGATTTAAATGACTAGTGAAAAGACTCAATTCAAATCAGAATTTTAAAGAACAGCTATCATCTCTGTCCTGCAGCGGCTCCTCCTCTGACCCGCTGTTGACTCACCGACAGTCTTATTCACTTTAATGGGACGGCTGGTGATGCGGCACAACAAGGTGAGAGACGTGGCGGCAGCAGGTGAGTGGATGCCCGCTAACAGGCGCTGCCATGATGGATCTACAATGACAGGTGCTCTTTAAATGTAAGGAATCCGACTCATTCTTGCTGGTAGTTAAAATCCTTAATATTTACAAACCAAATTAAGGTTTCCATTTTAGAATAATAAGCTGTCAGGTTAGTAAAACAGCGATCTCAGAACAGATTTTAGGTTGATCACAAATAGCTGGAGAACCACTCCAATTCTTTTATTTCAGGGTTTTCCTCATGGTTACTGTGAAATTGTGTGAATGCATCAATGTGGTGCAGGTTATCTGGATTCATTGAATGAGTTCACCGAAAATGTAAATATTGCAGAATATACAGCCTCACGCTACGTAACTAAGCTCCATTTCGCTGAATAAACTAAATTATTAATGTATCCTAAATAGAAAACTATCTTTAGATAGATTTTTTTTTACTCCAAAAGCATTTATTGAAAAAAAAAAAAAAAAAAAAAAAAAAAAAAAAACCAATTTAAAATAAAAAAAACAATTTAAATTAAAAAAAAAATTGATTATTTTTTTTTTTTTTTTTAAATCATCAATTTTTTTATCCACCCTGGTCTTGCCCAACATAGGCCCACACATTGATAAAACGCAATTTGCCTTATGTGCTATTAATTCTGCTCAGTCCGCAGTGGTGTACGCTGAACACAGATAGGGCAGGGCAAGTGCTGTACTTTTTTCAAGTTTTCAGCTCTTGTTTCACTGCAGTACACCGCAATACAACTTGCTAAAGTGAAGAAGAATGAATGAAAATGTCCCTTTGTGAAATTTCAATAAAGTTGGAAAAGAACAAGAAAAAAAAAAATCAGTACCACTCCATTCACAGTGAACACCATTGGCAGAAGGAAGCAGCAGAGGGCATCTATTAGATATAGAATATCAAGCTTAGAAGAATTCCACTGTTCTAAAAAGCATGACACTAAATCAGGTGTAGGCAACCTCAGCAAGCCTTGCCAACTCTTACGAAACTACAAAATTCCATGAGGTCCTGCAAGCTTATGACATCCACATGCAACTCCTATAAGCGATGGTATTTGTAGTTTCACCACATATGGAGTGCCAGGATAGCCCCCCCCCCCCTGCACTATATTAAACTAATTTAAAAAAAAAAAAAAAAAAAAAAAAATCCCTGATAAGAAAAAAAAAAAAAAAAATTTTTTCAATTATAGGAGGGCCCTCCTCCTCCTCCTCAGCATCCCCTAGTTGTCAATCTGTAGGAGCAGACCCTACAAACAATGCTGGCCCTCATGCACTTCAAAAAAGTAGTGAGCTACACTGGCTAGCATTGAAGGGGATAAGTTCACTTTAACAATAAATATTAAATGCACTTTTTGGTTGGGAAAAAAAAAAAAAAAAAAAAAAAAGTACATTTATTATTTTTTTTCTGTACAAGCAGCAGATCACAGGTGCAATGTCAGGCTCCTGCAGATTGTCAGTACACGGTCTGCCCGTACCTCAGAAGCAGAAAGGCTGTTACTGCAGCCCAGGAAGCTCAATAGACTACGAGAGGACATTGAGCAAAGACTACTTGTAGGCATTCAGTTACAGGAAACTGTGAATGAACGTTGCGGCCTGTGTGGGCAGGTGCGGGTGCAGGGAGAAGATTGCCAGCTTGCTGTCACAGGGAGGGGGGGGCGAGCTGCATATGCTGGAACATGCAACATCCCTTAAAGGAGAAAAGTCAACTTTAGTTCCTATCAAACCACAATACATATTCTACATTTGCTGTATTCA